AGCTGAAGGAATCAATAATGCAAGAGTAAGAGTTTGATATTCCTCCCTGATAAGTCTTTGTGTCTTTTAGGCCCCCGGATGATAGTGCGGAGATAAAATCCAAGCCAAAGACGCAAACAGACACAACCGCGAGCTAAACCCTAACAAACTTAAGTGCACAGAAAGGCCAAAAACCATGCACACAAACCTAGCTCAGACACTTGGCTAATGGCACAGCAGACACTCAGCTGGAGTTTTTAATCTTCCTCTGATTCAATATGTCTTCGGTCTTCAGACTGAAACCCAAGAAGTCCAGAGGAAAAACTCCTCCAAATAACAAACGAAAGAAAAAAAAAGTCACAGTTGAAAAATGCCTTTTTCCTTGCCACACCATCCATTTGAGAGCTGCCTCTTTTCTACTGCACAGAAGTGTTTCTAACACAGCCKAGATGGAATTCCTCTCTGAAAACTTCTATTAATAACTTGGCGAGTTTGTGTGATCACTGGCTTTACTAATTTCCAAGTACTGCTGGTGTAAAAGCAACCTGATAATGGGAAAGTGTTCTCACTGTTAAAACCAAGAAGCCTAAATCCTCTCTAATCCAAGCAGAGATTTATTTGTATATTGTTTGGCATTTGAGGCTCACACTGTCAATTTAACGTCCCACTGTGGAGCTGTTGATGATTATTTGATTCTTAAAAAATTAATGAATGTGCTGCTGGTGAAAATGATCGAGTGAGCTGTACAATAAACTACACTATGGGTCTGTGAAGAGTGAGCTAAAACTGTTGCATGGTAAGGAAACTACAGCATCTCCTGAGTGTTGGGCTATCACTGCAGCCTGTGGGCAAAATATTTTAATGAGTTAAAAGTCTATCAGATAAACAACTCAGGTAATGACCTTAGGACGTGACACTTCCAGTAAAGGCCCACTCTTGTTTGTTTGTACTGCTCTTTACAAATGTTAAGCAGATGGTTTATTATGTTTCATGCATACAAAATTTTCAACTCACTGTTTCTTCAAGGGTGAGAAACTGGTTGTATACTAGTGTTGCATAAATTACTATAATTTAGATATGGATAAATCAGTTATTTATTTACCGTTATTTAACCAGGCAAGTCCCGTTGAGGTCGCAGATATCTTTTTCAAGGGAGGTCTGGGCCTGAAAGCAACCTATTGTACATGTTTTTTAGTGGGTGGGGGAAACCGGAGTACCCGGAGAAAACCCACACAAGCACGAGGAGAACATGCAAACTCTACACAGAAAGACCCCAGGTCCTTCTTGTTGTGAGGCGTCGGTAACCACTGAGCTGTTGTGATGCCTTATGTAGCTGCGTTTCCATTGCACATGTACGCAAAACTTTGTCGATATTCTGTTAATGTCGAAAAACACAGTTTCGCAACTGCSGTGTTTCCATTAAGTAAGAAATGCTATTAAAGTCATGCGTGAATACGTTTGTTCTCGCGACAAGTCATTACAAACATGGCGGCAATGGATGTAAACACATAGCATATTGCTACCGCGACACTAGCGCTCATCATCAGAGGAGACGTCGGCATCTTTTATCGAGGCTTTCCAGCGACAAGCCCCTTATACTTGGGAGCGGCTACGTATGCTGTGTTTTTGGGAAATTGTAGTTGGTGAGTTTACTATTTAATACTASCCCTGTGATATTATTATTTCTACTTCCTGTTATCTTCGTCATCGTCTTTTTCGCCAGTAGAAACAGCCAGTTGTGATCACGTGATTCCCGTGATGCGAAAAAAGTGTTTCCACTGCAGTTTTGCGAAAAACAMCAATTTCGATACGGCCGAAAAACCACCTCATCCTAGCGCAAAAACATTTTGTCGAAAAACGTAATTTTTTTCGAAACTGATGYGTTTCCATTGAGCAAATTTATTTTCGAAATTCTAATTTGCGCATTTTCATGGTCAATGGAAACGCAGCTAGTGATTGATTAAAAAAGAAAATATCTACAACGGATTGGCTGAACATTAATGTAAAGATCTGGTGATTTTTAAAGGGATATTCTGTTAAATACTGTAGTTAGCAAGTTAGTACTTTGAAAGGTAGCAGCATTACCAGAACACAAAGTATGATTAAATAAAAGGCGTAAAGAATCAGAATCAGAAACACTTTATTGCCACTGTCAGTAAACAAGTTACAGACTAGGAATTTGCTCTGGTTTAATGGTGCACATAAGCAAGGAGTAAAAGAGAACTGCTAAGTGGTTGAAGTGAGGAAGGAAGACAAGTCAGAATACGAAACGAAGAATGAGAACAAAAATACAAGCTCAGCCGATAGCGATGGGCAAGAGCTGATTAAACGTTCACTAGACTAATGGCTGACGGGAAAAAAACTGTTCTTGTGGTGGGAGGTTCTGGTCTGAATGGACCGTAGTCTTTTGCCTGAGGGGAGGGGATGAAACAGGTTGTGACCGGGGTGTGAAGGGTCAGCTGTGATTCTGCCTGCTTGACTTAGAGTTCTAGAGGAGTACAGCTTCTCTATAGATCGGAGGTTGCAGTGCGCACAATGCGCTGCAGTCTCTGCCAGTGGCCTCAGTGTACCATACAGTGATGGAGGAGGTGATGATGGACTCGATGATGGCTGTGTAGAACCGCACCATCATCTCTTCTGGCAGTTTGTACTTCCTCAGCTGCTGTGGGAAGAACATCCTTTGCTGGGCCTTTGGGATGAGGGAGCTGATGTTCGGCTTCCACCTGAGGTCCTGGGTGATGGTTGAGCCCAAGAAGTGGAAGGAGTCCACAGTCGGGATGGAGTAGTTGGTGAGAACCAGAGGGGAAGGAGGGGCTGTGACTTTCCTGAAGTCCACGATTAACTCCAATGTCTTCTGTGTGTTGATCAGCAGGTTGTTAGAGCTGCACCAGGACACCAGCTGATCCACTTCCCTCCTGTAAGCAGACTTTCTGTCTGAGATGAGCCCGATGAGGGTGATGCCRTCTGCATACTTCATGAGTTTCACAGACCTGTGAAATGGTCCTGTACATGCAATATAAAAAATCCACTCATTGACATAGGCCTTCTTTACACAAGACCGGTCTCTGGAAATGCTGATGTTTACTGGGATGAATACAYACAAAAAAGTCTCCTGTTTACATGGAACCACTGCAGTTATGTACCAGGTAGGGTTGGTAATATAAAGGGTTGACTTTAAAGCCTGACTTATTAATTTTAGTCTCCTCCTTTAAAAGTTCTATACATTCAATAAGACCAAGCTCAATATACTTGCTTATACTGTATTTTATTTTTATATGTGCATATACATACATATAAATATAAATATAAACACACACACACACGCACGCACGCACGCACGCGCGCGCATGAACACACAATTTTTGAAGAGAAGCCAATGATCAACTTATAGTTTCCCTCAGTGGCTGGGC